TCCTTAGCTTCTTGACCTATTTGAGACGGTGTGTATCTTTGAAAACACATGGATTTCTAGAGGCTTTTTTGCCGAAGAAAGCTCGTTCCCTAGGCCTTCAATGCGCATTCGAAAGACTAAATCTCGGCGATTTTAGTATAATGCTCGGTTTCTAAAAAGGACTTCTCAGCGTATTATAGCAGCGAGGATTAGATCAGGCTTCACACCCGCTGTGGTCTGTTCGCTCAACTGAGGTCTAAAGATGGCTTTCGGCTAACTGTCATTCAACAAGTCAAATCTCCGCACGTCTGAAGCCGAGATTTGTTTTTGAAAAGGTCTACAAGGAGCATTGTTAAAGAGGAAAAAAGACACGTTTCACATCCGTAGTGATTAATCTGTGGCTTGAACTCCATAACGAGCTTCCACAACATCATAGCTACAATATAAAACGAAATATGAGCAGGTGTTTATAGAGTGATATAATGAGGTCACGAAGGATCCTTCGTGAGCTTTATAAAGATTTCACGACCAGAATATCTCCATTCTACAACAATATCACCATTGACGTAAGAAGAGGGGTTCGACAAGGCGATACAATATCGCCAAAACTATTCACTGCCACCCTACAAAACGTCATGCGAACATTAGAATGGGACGAAATGGGAGTGAAAATTGACGGTCGACAATTAAACCATCTTCGCTTTGCTGACGATATCGTTCTCATAACACCAAACATCAGCCAAGCGGAACGAATGTTGACTGATTTCGATAACGCCTGTGGAAAGATCGGTCTTCAACTGAATCTAACGAAAACAATGTTCATGAGGAACGGATGGGTTTCTTATGCCCCATTCACGCTCAACGGAACGACAATTTCCGAATGCTCCAGTTACATCTATTTAGGTCGTGAAATCAACATGATGAACGACCTAGCCCCAGAGTTGAGCAGGACGAAACGAGCGGCTTGGGGAACGTTTAAGAGCATCGAAGATGTAGTGAAGAGGACAAAGAACATCCGACTCCGTGCCCACCTTTTCGACTCGACAATCATCCCTGCCCTAACGTATGCAGCAGAAACCTGGTCGCTACGTAAGCAGGATGAAAGATCACTTGCCGTTATCGAACGCGCAGTCGAAAGGTCGATGCTAGGAGTATCTCGTATTTCGCAAATGAGACAAAGGATCCGAACTTCCGACCTACGTCAACGATCGAAAATCAGAGACGCCGTTCTACACGCCAGGATATCGAAAATAAGGTGGGCCGGACACGTGATGCGCTTCAACGACAACCGATGGACGAGAGCCGTTACCGACTGGATTCCTCGGGACGTCAAGCGCTCTAAAGGAAGACCACTGACCCGTTGGTCCGATTTCTTCACGAAAGCGATGGAAGAAAGATATGATGCTCAGCGAATTCCTAGAGCAAGGAGGACCCACTGGGCTACTCTTGCACGCGATAGGGAAAAATGGAAGAGTTGCTGGTACCCGCTCGAGTCACTCGACGATCAACGGGACGACAGGTGATACAGGTGACAGGTGATAATGAGGTCTCTTCTACATGAGGTTCTACAATTCCTTTGCGAGAAAACTCAAAATTTGCTTGGAACAAGAACTTTCAAAAGAAAAAAACGTGCAGCGATTGTAACTGCCGTACTAAAAATACGCAATTTTCGTTACCCATTAAACGACTTTTCCACCAAAAAAATTCTCAAGCTTTTTTTGATATTCTCATAGCATCACGATATGCTCTACACGCCCACATACTTCTGGTGCATGTATTTCCAAGAGCGGAACGACTTTACTTTCGCTCTATGAAAACCTTCCTGAAACCCAAACAAAAAAACAAAACAAAAACAAAAACACAAATATGTTTATCATATTAAAACTACCACTGCTTTTGAGCGAGGTCTATCAAAAAAAGGGCCGAATGGAGAGGTATGACTCATTATAGTAGGCACTAGCTCGACTGCCGTTCACTGCAGATTTCAGAGAATTCTGTAACCTACACTTGCGATGATTTACCATTTGGCGTCAACTCCTTTATAGAGGGGTATAGCCTTGCGGGATCGGGTGAACCGAGGGACTGTGCTACTGAAAAGTCTTAGAGGACGAAACAGGCGTCTGGCTGGCACTTCAAACCACACAAACGGCTTAAAACATGTCAAATAATCATCAAACCAAACACAGTTTCAGAATCATCGTTTTTCAAGTTATCAAACGAAAAATTAATTCTAATGAAAACCCACCCACAAACCCTTGCGGAGCAAAAATTGCACACCGATGGTGAAATGTTATCTTAATTTTGCTGCTATAGCGTAGTAGGAAAAGGATTTCAAAATTCATTTATAGTCTCGTAATTATTATTTGAGCCAACATGTCATTTGGTCTGTTATGGGCTCTTCTACAGCGCGATCCACGTGTTTCGACCTTCCAGCCTCGTCAATCGGGCTGGCCCTTCGTCTTCAGCCAGTGCTCTCGGGGGCTCGTACATCCCTCATAAAGAGGTAGGCGACGACGAACGATTTACACAATCGCCGTCAAGTGAAAAATCACAAGATCGGCAATCTTCGACACTCGATTGCTCTTGGCTGGTATTTTTGAAATATATCGTTTATTCGAGTGTTTTATTAAGACCACGCTCTAATCAATATATCTCATATATATTATTCGAGCCAACTGACTAGACGAATGACGAGGAAGGCTGGAAGGCCGAAACACGTGTATCGGGATATACAAGAGCCCATAACAAACCACATGACATATTGGATCATATAATAATAGTGAGATGTACTGAAATTTGAGCGTGGTCCCAATAAGATACTAAGAGTAAACGGTCCAATTATAGTATTGAAATCGCAGAAAGCTATTTCATGACTTAGCATATCTCATTTGACTAATATTCTCATCACATAAATCTCTCCTTTGGCATCTCTGCTACGGCCACTTCACCAAATGCTTCCTTGCTATGACTCTGAGAAGCTTGAGATCGTCACGACATAATCGCAGTTCCTTTGCCTGTGTGAGTACGGCTTTGACGGATTCACCATTTTCAGCGAGATTATGTCGGGACGATTTCAAGCTTCTCAAAAGGACCGGTAAGGGGGCACTTGGTGAAGTGGCCGTCGTATGGATGCAAAATGTTGGAGATATATGCAATGAAAATATTAAATAGGGGCGCCGTGGTTGAGTGGTCGTAATGGCTCGTCACGGCATGTGCGGAGCCGAGCTCTACCTCCAATTCTCTCCGGCAGTCAACGACAACACCCTGTGGAACGCCACAGCAGGGCTATCCTCGAGATTGCAAGGAGATTCGCTTAGTCAGTATCCTACGACGTTCTAGAAGACGAAAAACGAACTCAATGCCGAAATATTGGAACCGCACAGTGAGGGAAAAAAACACTGTGGAGACGAATCAATAAAGTGTCAAAAGAATATCAAATAAATGAACACGTGCTGAAGCAGCATGTTTTCGAAAGGAACGTGATGTGTCTTTCTATGCTGAACCACCATTTAACGATTTTTAAAAGTTCAAGGAAAAGTGAAAAAGGCTCCGTCCCAAACGGATAAACCTCCGAAAGTATTTAACACGTTGAGAACGATGTGAGCTGTTATTAGCTCAAACCGCACGTCGCGTGTCGGCGGTGTGGCGAGGGGGGAGTCTTTATTATCACGCCTTGCAATGGAAATGTGGGAATTTGTTTGGTAATCCGAGGTGCTGAGGAGATATTATCGTGATTAAATGATGAAATATAGCAGAAGAGACTCCTATAAAAAGTTTTATAGTTAGGAGAATGCTCATGTATCGAAAAATCATCTATGTTTCAACGGGAGGGAAAAGCGGATTACTGTGAATGGGAACATATTTCCAGCTACTATAAAACTTCGTTTCTTTCCTTCTTCATCCATGTCCTTGTAGTTACACAATGGCTTGAGAGATGCTTAGTCTCCCACTACGTCTGCTTCGCGGAATGACTTTTATTTTACTGCCTGCTAACGAGAAAAACTGACATTTTGCAAGCAGAGTTCGTTTTATTGAGCATTTGCCTTTTCCCTCGAGATTTGAGGTTTTAAGAGAAAGCATGGCCATTGTTTCTGCTACGATAGCTTTATCGATGTCTCTTCTATCATATTTTACCATTTATTGGCAACGAAATTCCCCTAAGTGACGAAAAATTCCAAATTTCATTAGAAAACTACCACAACGCCTTTGTAGCCGCCGCGCTCGTCGCGCAGGATTTCAAAGACGTTGTCATGGTGTTGGTTAAAGAGGAGCAAGATTACGAGACGTCCTACCTCCATGGGTTCCGGTTCAGGAATCTTCGACTCGGCTTTGGCACCATCCTCGGCGCTCGCTTCCTTCTTCTTTGGAGGAATCTTAGCTCCAAGCCTGAATGATGATGATATTCCAGAGGAGAAATTAGAGGGATTCGCTTGTGCTTAGAGAAATCGCTTACTCTTCAAGGAATTCGCGAAAGAATGAGAGCGATGGATCGTGGAGAAGATCCGTATTGGCCTTGACGGTTGACACAAACATCTTCAATAACGCAAGGTGCTGCTCCATGACTTGGGACGAATCTGACTGAAGAGAGAACTCGAAGAATCTACAGATACCTGAAACACATAGGAGACGAGATATGACCTATGATCGCGAGAAATATCAACAAATTCATCTCATTTCGCGTCTAATAGTCAACGAATGGAGCCCTAGAATGATAGGAAAACGGCATGAGGATGATTTAAAAAAGAACAGAAAGAATCCGATAGCCAAGTGGCAGAAAATCAAGCGTAAAAAAGTCTCTTGAGTTCGAGTCCGTCCGAGATCACCAAGGAGAACGGTGCCGTCGGGGCAACTGGATCACTGCCGTTGCTCTCTGCCGCCGCCGTTGCAACACGCGAGCAGTTTTCGCGCCACGATGTTGGTCCTGTGTCATCCTTTTTGCAATGGGGCGCGCTTATGCCGAATTATGATAGATAGATCACAGCATTCTCTACAAGAGCCGATGGGCGAGTGGTAGATCGATGACCTCTGTGGTGTGGTGGAATCACGCGTCTCCGGCATGAGACGTACACGGGTTTAACTCCCGCCTGGGGTTGAAGGTCTTGTAGATCACTCGCAATCTTTAGGTATTCCTTGAAATCCTTATAGATGGGGATCTTTATCAAATATATAGAGATAATGGGTTGTTTAATAATGATGCATCATGTTTTGATAAGTGCTAGACAGGCGCCTGTTTCGTCCTCCACGACTCATCAGTTGCACAGTCTTCTATTCGACCACCCTTGAGCCCGTACTCCTCTATCAAGTAATCGACGCCGAATAAAAAATCCGGCACAAGTTTTAGTGATTCCAAGGCTCTGCTTATTCTGCACATGTCGTTCAGCAGAAAAAATAAGATTGAATTTTACACTTTCGGTGAGCTTGTTTATCGGTCAGTTCGTGGGATTGCGGGGGCGGAACCACTTGATTGATGCCCCGTACATTGGATATTTGGGAATTTATCTCCACTTTGAACGAAACTCCAGTTAAAACGATTGACTCACACACCCACGCATTCATATGATTTTCGTGCTTCCAGCGAATTATACGCCTGATAAAAATGAAGGCGGGTGGCCGATATAAGACATAATTTTATTTTGGGCCTTACAGCGTAATAAAAAGGTTTTGAACAAACCGGTCACGTGGGCTGTAGACTCCTAAGAAAAGTTCCTGTCCAACGAATGAGGTCGCTTTTCATCTGTCGCCTTATAATGAACAAATACCGTCGATTGCATTTGAGAAAACGCCACGGTGATTGTTTCACCGTACGCTTAGTGTAGAAAGTCCGCCGTGTGTTCCTCTATAGAGGAGTAGATACCCGAGAAAGTGCACGTGAATTGGTTTGAACGAAAAGACAAGGAAAAGACACAATTGGCAAGGTTATAAGGCTGAAACAAATATTTTGCACCTTAGAAATGCCCATAGTAGAGCTCACCAAATACTGAAAATATATCGTCAGATTATATTGTTCTTGAGCAATATCCCAGAATAATCGAGTGCTCTATTATATAATTTTTATTCAAGTTGGACATCGGAGAGACTATTTTATGACTCCTTGTTCTTCTGCTTAGACGACTTCGCAGAGATGAAAGTATACAGGAAATTGGCGAGTACGAATAGCATGAAGATTGTCAATATAATCGCGAAGTTGAGAGCAGCACCTGAACAGAGGTCGATAAGTAGCAAGCTAAAAATCAGCTGAATTTTGAGTAGGGAATATTAGGTAGACTACTGCTATTGATGACGGAGACTAACCAAACACTGTACACCGATCGATAAGAACGATACGTATCACCTGTATCACCTGTCGTCCCGTTGATCGTCGAGTGACTCGAGCGGGGACCAGCAACTTTTCCATTTTTCCCTATCGCGTGCAAGAGTAGCCCAGTGGGTCCTCCTCGCTCTAGGGATTCGCTGAGCATCATATCTTTCTTCCATCGCTTTCGTGAAGAAATCGGGCCAACGGGTCAGTGGTCTTCCTTTAGAACGCTTGACGTCCCGAGGAATCCAGTCGGTAACGGCTCTCGTCCATCGGTTGTCGTTGAAGCGCATCACGTGTCCGGCCCACCTTATTTTCGATATCCTGGCGTGTAGAACGGCGTCTCTGATTTTCGATCGTTGACGTAGGTCGGAACTTCGGATCCTTTCTCTCATTTGCGAGATACGGGATACTCCTAGCATCGACCTTTCGACTGCGCGTTCGATAACGTCAAGTGATCTTTCATCCTGCTTACGTAGCGACCAGGTTTCTGCTGCATACGTTAGGGCAGGGATAATTGTCGAGTCGAAAAGGTGGGCACGGAGTCGGATGTTCTTTGTCCTCTTCACTACATCTTCGATGCTCTTAAACGTTCCCCAAGCCGCTCGTTTCCTCCTGCTCAACTCTGGGGCTAGGTCGTTCATCATGTTGATTTCACGACCTAAATAGATGTAACTGGAGCATTCGGAAATTGTCGTTCCGTTGAGCGTGAATGGGGCATTAGAAACCCATCCGTTCCTCATGAACATTGTTTTCGTTAGATTCAGTTGAAGACCGATCTTTCCACAGGCGTTATCGAAATCAGTCAACATTCGTTCCGCTTGGCTGATGTTTGGTGTTATGAGAACGATATCGTCAGCAAAGCGAAGATGGTTTAATTGTCGACCGTCAATTTTCACTCCCATTTCGTCCCATTCTAATGTTCGCATGACGTTTTGTAGGGTGGCAGTGAATAGTTTTGGCGATATTGTATCGCCTTGTCGAACCCCTCTTCTTACGTCAATGGTGATATTGATGTAGAATGGAGATATTTTGGTCGTGAAATCTTGACACACGTCTAAGTGAGCTCGTACTTTATCAAGGAGCTTGGTATCATATCAGACGTAGGACGCTCATACTTGGGATAAGCGGGGCATCAGGACTTTTATGGGTTGTGTTTGATTCATGTCACTCGCATGAAAAACTAGGCGTCATCCAATGAGTCCTTTATGTAAAGTAAGGCGTGGGCACCAGTGTGATCGCACATGGATATTTTTAAACTTTTGATAAGTACCTACTACTTTATTTATGAAAGAGTACGATGGGTGAGAAAAAGGCAAAGCGAGGGCTCAGATGGTGTAATAAATAAAACGTAAGTCCATGAAAAGGGTAGTCACGGGTTTGCAGCCACCTTAGGTCTCATGTTTTGCTCGTATCTCAGCATCTTATGGTTGTACTGCACGTGGAAAGGTTGGTCACAGCTGTGATAACTCTATTGCCTTACCAAGATTTTTGCTGAAATGTCTGGAGAGTGTGTAATTAAGTTCTTTTTCGAGAACGGTCCTTGTAACCTCTTCCAATACTGATTTTGAGTCACCATTCGCAGTTTTATGATGCAGCATAATCTTCAAAAATTTAAAGTTTTGTTTTCTATTTTGAGGATAAAGGGTTTATTATGACTTCTTTTTGAAAACATTATGTAAAAATCTTCAAGAAGAAAATGCTCTGTATAGAGTTTATCATACCATGAAACTTGACACGTCATTACAGAGGTCATACTGGCATGAGTAGTGAGTTTGCAGCGTGGATGATTGCTTATCGTACTTACTGCAGAATCGCTGCACCTGCTTGAAAGACAATTATTCATTCTAAGCACAACACGGTGACTTCTAGCCTGGTCTATGGTTTTTTCCCGGATCCCAGACGCACCATGGCTCTCATCACTCCGGGTTTGGAAATTACTGCTAGTCTGTTCGGGAGGACAATAACACTGACTTGATGGATTGGTACGGCGCCGCAATAATCGTGACTAATTTTCCATTGAGTTATTCTGTGTCCAGTCTTCTAATGTTCCTCGGTGAACGAATATATGGCCCATATATCAAGGATGATCAACATCGAGAGCTTCACCCTTTATGATACATCTAAGGAGAACGTTCCAAAGAGCACATCGCTCAGGAAGTCAGAGACTTCCAAACTAAACTCATTGACTGATATTCGAAGAAATTTATATGACCCAGAGCATTTCACAAGGATTATTGTAGAAACAAAACCTAAAGATTTTTAGTTTTATTTTTCATCGTTTTAAATTAACGCTCCATAGCTCTGGACCAGTTTTATATATCCTTGAAGCTGCGGATACCATGCGACATCTTTTCCGCTTATACGCTTGTTTCACGTCAAATCATTTGCAACACATTCGTGGCGATGCGTATTAGTCTCAGTGCATGTCCAAAAAGTTTTACTTTTTCAGCTCCAAATAAAATGTATTAGATAATAGTAGACATTTTTCAGAACACTGACAACCATACATGAAGGTATTCCAGTAAGTATTTATAATTTTCCAGCATTCAATCTATCAAGTTAATAGTTTTGCCTTCTTGTATGAGACTGATACAATTTGCCGACATCGTAGGGTTTGGTTAGTTTTGCACGTGGCATTTGATCAGCCATTAATTTTCTATCCAACGGAGCACCCTATAAGCACTGCGTCACATGCTCCTGATGATTCTATAGTGCTTGAGAACATTATTCCCTTTATATTCTTGTTTACCTTTGTTCTGAATACATCGCACCAATCAAGTCAAATGACATGTCCTATACTAGACAATCAAGGGATGTCCTAAGGCCATAGTTTTTCCTCCAGTTAAAGGTACTCATGAAGCAGATAAAATCAGTCAGATTATAAATCAGACCCTTTCCATGTCTCCTTTCATGATTATGTTCTTAAGCAGTCTTGTCGTCGGATCGAGAAAGGTTGTGATCGAGCAGCTCACAAATTCGCCATCCTAAAATTATGCTGTGCCTAATGTTTGTTCACTACACTCGAACTGCAACATCAACTAGATGCTAGACTTCTACGACAAATAAAAGTTCTGTGAATAAATTTTAAGTAACATGTGCGCTTTAAAAGACTATCCACTATCATTTCGAGAACATAGTAAATAATATCGAATATGAGAACGACAAATTTTCAACAATAGATGACCTGTGGTCAATCAATTTCATTGCTCTGTAAGAAAAAATTATCTGGATTTGAATAATTTTTTACTTTCAGAGACGGAGAAAAAGTTATTTTTGCTTGAATGGTAAACCTAAACGGTAGGTTGTACTCCGTTTTGCGCTATTCCTATACGAAGCTAAACTGCTATTGTGAATATGATGTAGAACAAGTTCTTTTTATTCGCATGGTTGTCTAGTATTTTATCTCATATTATTATACTACGCTTTTATTGTAAAAATTGAAGGACAAGATACTCAATGTTGCAATTTTTCAAAGATGCGTCACGTATTAGACTTTATTCACGACATCCTAGTGGTGGTAGGCAAAACACTTGCCCAGTGCCATGGCTTGTAATATTATACCAATGTTATTACAATAAGTCAATGTTTTAATTTTTTCACTCAAATCCAATAACAAATTTCCGTAGTGAAGGTTTAGTGCCCGAGGATGAGCCGGCGACGTTGCTTCTTTGCAGAAAATCCCTAACCACTGCACTGCACTGTTCACGGTATATCAATACCACTACTCATGTTGTCATGGGTCATTTGTATATGTTAATGACTAACAAATTTAATGCCACAAACTCTCATTGCCA